GAACGCAACCCTCGCCAGCACCCCACCACCAACACTACCCCTTCTCTTTGCACATACCGTGCTCGGATTGTTTGCCTTTATTTGTTTATACTTATTTTATTTTCACACCCCTCAGATATGCCCACTCCTAGCTCATCCCATCGTCATCATCGTCATCGTCATCGTATGCCATTTTTCGTTTGAACTATGGCCAAGTTCTCAAGTTACTCTATTTTCCTTTCATTAATTGTTTGTTTTCACTTCCATTTCACTTTTCGTTTCGATTGTGTATGTCATTTTGAAAAATGTGTTTGGCTGTTTTTTAAATTCAATTGTGGATTGCCTTGCTGTGCTAGTCCCGGCACATCCGTGCCTCAGGCGTAGCCGCAACCACCCCTTTGTTGCGACCTCATCTAAAAAAATAAGCAATACGGCTACCTCTCCTCTGGCACCCGCTTATGGATTGCAAATTTGACACCACACATTGTTCCTGAAAAACGCACACCATGTAGACCTTGGTTGGCATATCATATACTATACAGTTCAGATCGACAGACACACATCAGTCATCATACTAGGTTAGTAACTTTGGAGAGGCATATTGGTATTAACAATGCCAATTTACATGCAGAGGGAAGGTTAAATTAGAAGAGGGTGCGCTCCATTTTTGTTTCTGTCTATATTAAGACTGTGTCTTTTCGTTACAAATATTTTAAGATATTTGAGAGATCGCTGATTGGGTAATTTTCGCAACAATATTCCAATGTTAACTAACAATTTGATGCCAGCAGCCATCTGCAGTGCTAAGCAGTTGAAGCAGTTCATTTGCTAGCTTCTCAAGCAGTGCACCTTCAAGAAAGCCCAATACGAAGCCTGAATATAATGTACTTTAAAAACAGGATTATTTAGGATTGTTTAAAACAATACACCACGGCCTTTTCTGGAATTGTTGTTGCCACATATAGTGACACTTTCAGAAGTCAACAATATAGTAACTAAACTAAATGCGCGATTTATTAGTTAATGCGCCCACAGCTGCGGTTGGTGATCCAGCAACGAATGACTCTACAAGATTAGAGGGCGGTTTTTTCATCAACGGCATAGTTCTAGAAGGTAAAATATAGGAATATATTTTCTATTTACTTGGACGTTTCATGAATGCAAAACATTCCCTTTTCGTTTTTGAAGCATACTTTCTTGCATAAATTTTCATATTTGAATTAAAATTTAAAAAAACAATAATACTTGTAAAGTAATTATATGTCGTTTTTGCTTTAATGATGGACTTCTGAAAACATAAAGATCTATATCTTTACATATACATATAACACAATCTCTCAAAAGTTCTTTGCAACGGTTTTCGATAAAAGTACTAAGTGTTGTGAAAATGCAGGAATTTAGTAAATAAGTTTACCCTTTGCGTGCAGACTATGAATGAAATCGAGAAGTACAGGTTATCCATTTTTATTATGCGTTTTCTTGTCACACTTGCCTTTTAGTTTGGGGTGATAATCCTTTTGCCAAAGTCCCGCACGTGCGGATAAATCAGTTGTGATAATGCGCAGGTCACCCCGTTAAATGCATTTATTTTATGGCTGAGTCCCAAGTCGGACAATGCATTTGTCATCACAGCTTTGCTATGGGAGTCAAGGAGGGAGTACTCGAGTCCAGAAATGTGCAGGAAGTGGCATTTGTCGCAGCTTTAGGGCATCCAGCACGTGTTCTGAGCAGGAGATAGCTATCAAAACATGCAGTTGCCTTAGATTTGTATAGATAGAAATATTTATTTGCATTTAATACTCGGCAGATCCACATGCATTAATGCTGACAAGTCTGCCCCTACTACCCGTCATGTAAGCTAACACGTAAAGGTATCCAGGGGCTCATCGAATTGGAATTTTAAACTAAAAAATTAGTGATGAGCCCATCTCTGTGCCAAGTCTCGCAGTAATTTATGGACAGATCTACGATCTGGCGACGACTGCCACTTCTCATTAGCGTCCATCCGCTCCAAATTGATTGATTTATTTTGGCAATTATGTACATTTGATTAAAGGTTCGACTCGAAGTCACGCTGCGACGCGCGATAATAATATGCGGGGAGCAAAGCTCGAGTCCACCGCCACCCCCACTTGTGTTTGCCTTGGAGAGAAAGCGAATAAAAAATGCGGACAAAAACAACATAAATCCCCAAAATATCCCACGGAGCAGATTACAGGCCTATGAATTGAAAACCAATTGTGCTTGGAATGAAAAATCACGCCAACATGCCCGGCATGTGGTGCGTAAAACTTTATGGGGGTATGGGGATGCGAAGGGGAGCCGGAGCTTGTAATTCAAATACGGTTGGCTTATTTAAAATTCTGCGATTTGGACAAGGGGATTTGATTTCTTTGCTTTGCGTCGCTCGGTAACAAATAAATCGACCGACATTTGAAATAATTGACAGCAATGCCAGCAATTGGCGACAAAAAAATCCAAAGAACGGAAATTATTTTCTAGCTTCAGTTAAACAAAACATTGCTTCAATAAATTATAAAAGTACATACTTCTTAGCTAAACAGGCTGAGCAGTGGTTTCAATGGTTTCTCATTACGATTTCCTTCGGTTTGAATGGTTTCCTTTACAGGGAGGAATAAATTAGTATTCTGTATACTGAGAGAGAAATGGCGGCTTATATTAGCTTCGTCTTGAATTGATTGTTTTTTAATAATTTCCAAACTTAGTATTTGTTAAAACTCACTTCTTGTCACTTCTCGTCAGTCATAGCTTAAAATACTTTAATAGCATATATTTTATTTATAAATATAATTTATTCACTTCTCGATGGACTAACATTTTTAATTCAAACTACTTTTAATTGTTAGAGCTGAGACTAAAGACCAGAACAGTTGTCGACTTTCCCTAATTGGATTTCTCTTCTTTCAATTCCTGAGGAATTTTATAAAAAGTGAAGACCTGCAGAAATAGTATTCCTGGGAACTTTTAAATAGCTTTGTTTATTCTGGCAAAGAAGAGGGCGGAACATGGTGGTTGGGCTCGGTTCGGTTGACTTCGATTATCGCGATGGAGTCGTGTGGCAAGGTCTTAACTTATTTAAATTTATATGACTTTGTATTTATGCCCATAATCAGCACATGGAATCCCTTTAAGACGCGTCATAAGTAATTTGCTGCCGTCTGAAATGGGCGTTCGCCATTTTTTTCTTTTTTTGTGTTCTTGTCATCAACGATTGGTAAGCCCCGAAGCCATTGCCATTGCCGTTGCCGTTGCCGTTCAATTTTGGTGCTTTTATTCAGCTGCAGCGAAATTAGATTTGTATCAGAGCTCCCGCACAGATACAGATACACAGCCTTATAAATACAACACCCATATGGCATGCTTATGTATACTGTAGTATGTATATTTGAGTTTATGGTAACTCATACGGACTCGTATCTGAAAGATATAAAAGCTGGAGCTCAGAGAACAGCAGAACGGCGGAATGGCAGATACGAGTACGCACGGACTAAGCTGGAGCGCCGCCATTTTGCGAATGGTATGTAAACGAATGACGAAGATGAGGAGGGAAAATTGTAATAAAATAACGCAAATATGGCAGAAGGAAATGCTTTTTATGTGAGTATTTTATTTTATGTATTTGCCGCATAAGCAGCTTAAGTGGCATCACAATCGCACACACAGAGAAGCGTTCTATGACATAGAAAGGGAAAGGAAAGGGAAAGGCATAGCATAGAGAAAGGAGGCAGTATCTATCTATGTGTGTGTGTGTGTCATCCTTATCGGAACGAATGCCGACGTCTCATGTGCCATAATTTGCCGCCAAATACTCCACACACAGCCTCCAACCAGAGGCAGCTCTCGTTTGGCACAAATACCCCATTTATACTTATATATGTGCTTGTATGTGTGCATGTCTTTATGTATTCATGTATGTGTGTACATTTCTGCATAAAAATGCCTTTAGTGGTTCCCCCGCACACACACACACACACACACACACTCAAATACACACACAACATGAATAATATTTTGCTTTCTTTTCATTTTGACTTTTGTTCTTCCACTCTTTTTGGTATCGTGTGCGCAAAATGTGGGCTCATGGTTGGACCATTATGGGTGGTATATGTATATAGTATGTATAGTATAATAAAAATGGGTGTATACCATAAACACAATCATTTTTTCTCCGAGTTATATGTTCAGTATACAAACAGGCACTAAAACCAAATGAAATGAAGCAACGTTCAAGGCTAGATGGGAAGCGCTTTTTAAAAATTACATCAAATCCAATCTACAAGTATATAGTTTGGAGTCCATTTATTAATAATTATGTTAAGATCATGAAGAAAAATTTGAGTCATCGAAAAAACTGATCTATATGACCGTAACTTAAGTTTCCTCCTTCCAACCGACTTTTTTGAAAAATAGCTAACACGTAAAAAATATAAAACACTTATCTTTGTAATGGAATTAGAGCCTTAGGCTTTGTTTTATTAGCAATAAATGTGTTTATAAAATCTGTCATTTTAAGCCCCGACTCAGTTTGTTAAGTATGATAATAGTTTAACAAAATGCAGAAGCCTCATTCTTTTTATTTTCAGTTGGTATTGGGTTGAATATTCTATTTTCGTTAGGCCGCAGGCGTTAATTGTAAATAAGCCGAATTCTTTAGTCAAGAGGATGTGATTTTTCAATAATAATTGGCCCCCAGATTTCGGACTTATGGGTTCAAGGACCACATTGATGACATTGCCTTTCTGTGGCTGGGATAACATAAATGATTGCACACATATCTAAAATATTCGTTTATTGTAGATGGAGACTAAGTCGTGCGCTTAAGTGGATGTGTCCCCGTCAATATATTAACTACACTAAAAACTAGACTAAACATAAATTGTCTGCACCCACGCAAAGATCCAACCATTGCTGTTCCTAAACCTCCATTCGTCTTTGGTAGTTTAGCTGCTTGCAGGACTCGTCCCCTAATAACAAGGACGCATGTGACCCGTTCCCTAGCGTTACTGGTGGTATTCATAGTAATACCGATATGGATCCAATGAAGAGCTACTTCCACCAACGGCGGTACTGACGCCTACGCCGGCATTCGCTTTAGATACGGGCCTGATGACGTAGGTGTTGCGTCTGAAAGTTGATTGAAAGTTGGGTTGGATTGATGATCGGTGATCGGAAGAAGCCTGGGAATCATCGGAAGTTCGAACTCACCTATTGTGGTCGTTGGCGTGAACCTGAAAGCTGGACTCCTCGCTGTGGTCGTGCGAGAAGAGCTTCTTGAGCGCAATTATGCCCGCAATGGTGAGGGCCACTTTGCTGATTACCAAAGCCTTTCCGGCAATCGCCGCCAGTGCCTTGAGTCCCAAAGGACCGGCGATTCCCATGGCCGTTAGCAGCGCAGCTATTACGTATTTCATGTGACCACCGCCCTCCTTATGTTTCTTCTTCTTGTCATCGTGGCCGCGGCCGACCCCAACATCCAAATCTATTTTTAGCGAATGTGTGCGCATTAATTTCTCCAATTTGGTGAGCAAAACGCGATCAAGGTTGTCAATATTTCGGGCCTCAGTCAACACACTAACGACTCGCTCCCTATCCGTCTGGTTCTGCTTCTCCAAAACGAGTCCATCCGTAATTTTGATGGAGTCCTGATTCAAGGCACGGCTTAGCGCCAGAAGCGCCTTATGCTTCAAACAGCCGACAAAGTTATTCTTATCCAGACAGCCCTCGTAGACACGGCGCACAATGGCGAACTCCGGTCCTAGGCCCAATCCGAGCACAAACTCAGTGCCATTGAACCCTGACACAGGGGCTGAAGTTGCGGTTGGGGTCCTGGAAGCGATGTGGCGGACACGTCGCTGGCGGGCGGCCGCCACCTCGATCGAACGGCTGCCGCAGATGCTCAGAGCACACGCGAAAAATAGCATCCACTTCCAAGCCATTGTTGCTTCTAGTCCTTGTTATCCTTGCGGGCTTCTACCGTCCCAGCGCAGCACTTAACTTCAGCTTGCACAGCCAGTTGCTTCCAAGCTCCAGCGAGGTTCGGATGCTATTGCAGCGAAATCGCTGCCAGCTTCAGATTTTTATAATATCGTATTCAGTCTCTGCCGAAGCATTCAACCGCATCTCAATGGCGTGCACCGCACCGATGGGATGCTGTTGGAACGATGCACGATTTACATCGGCCACACATATTTTGTAGATATGCGTTGGCTTTTCAGCAATCTGCTTTATGACTCTGACATGTTTTCTTTACTCATCCATGCATCCAACCATGTCCATGACTGCCCAGATCTCGTGCGAGCGAATGATCAATTGGCGGCTGCATCGGCTAGAAATTTCAATTTCATCGTGTTCTTGTACCCTGCGCTGTAATTCATGTCTGTTATCAATTTTAGAAATTTCTAATAGCTGATTTTCTAATTTGCTCTACCCCCATACTGGCTAGCTATGCCCCGATTCACAGACCACGAAATTCTAGCTTATAAGATGCTTTTTATAATTTTTATGTACTATCTCCTATGTCGACAGTCAATGTTTGTTGACATATATAAATAAATAAATACTCCTTTAGGGTCAGCTATCTGGGCAACTAACAAACAACTAGCCAGCTCTATAATTCAGAACCGATTCGGGTGCAGTCACTCGCAGTGTTCCGAACTATCTACACAGTCTCATTATTTTTTGTAATAACTTATAGGTGTGTAGTTCTAGTAAGTTTTCAAAATAATAATCCTAAAATGTGATAATGCTTCAGATATAGAAAACGAGATATTTGTGAAAGAATAATAAGATTCTTTGGACCTCAGGTCTGTCAATAAACACAATCATGGAATTCGTCTATACACTATTCAATAAATAAATTTCAATACAGAAAAGTACAAGAAAGAAAACCAAGAGGTCCTGCTGTGCTGAAACAAAAAGATCCCTTAAAAACTAACCAACTTAAAGTCTTACAATACTTATAATTCAGTCTGCTGACAAATCAAGTCCAGAGAATAATGGAATATATACTATAAGTATTAAGCGGGACTTCCAATTCGTATGCTTCATAGAAAGGATTCTTCACATATTGGCGTATTTATAAATGAATAATAGCAGTATACTCATTAAAATACAAGAATAGTTTTCGTAATTTTAGGTGTACAAAAATTATCATCAGCCCAAATCTAAGTTTCATCTTGTACAATCGATTGAGGACTATAAGTGCACACCTCGTATGTAAGACAAAATCAATTTGTTTCTTTGTAATTAAAACATTGCAGACGATCACGAATGCCCTTTGATCGTATCCATAAATATATATCTACTGAGTTGTCTAATGTTCAGATTTCTGATTATGATCTACATTAATGACGGTGCGAGACTCTGTGATGCACGAAATGGCGTCGAACTTGTGGCTGGCTGGCCGCTCGACGATATTGATGCCGTGAGATGGTTGATTATTTAGTGCAGTGGGTACGATTAAGTTTAACAGTTTTCTCCCTCCGTTTTCGCTAATTGCTCAGCGACTGTGAAGCCTATCGCATGTAGAGCTGAGGCTTTCGACGCACCAATGACAATTTGCGCTTGTTAGCGTCACTTTCGACGACAACAAGAGTTATGACTTGTTAGAGAAAGAGATAGTAACAGATATAATTAGAATAGACAGAATGTCGCCTTATCGAAAGCATTCCAATTAATAGTACGAGCTTGGTAGATGTTAATTGTATATTTAAAAATATCGCCTCCACATTGTTAGTCTTATGACTGATTTCTGCGCCTTGGCCACTGTTGAACTTATAAGCTTATCTCGCGATACATCACTATAGGGGGACTACTTGTGTTTTGTTATTTAATTCATACTTATATGGTATTTGTGATTTTTCGAAAACAAATTTGTTTTGTTACTAAACTTCATGTTTGTTGCACAGACCCTCAAGTATTTACATACGTATGTATGTACGATCTAAACGAAGATGCACTTATTTAATTCGATGTTTACATTACATCTTGTACGTAGTTTATAAATACTGCCTGCGTGTGTGGTGGAGAGTCGTGTCTTCAAGGTATGTACATACATATCTATATAGTATATGATAACACTTAACTTTTAATGCTTAATCTAAATAAAATGTATGTTGTCCATCAATTACTTTCGAGCTTAACGAGAATGGAGTTCAAGGTTTCTACCAGAAAGTGGGAGGAGCGTTATTATCCAACTGCTTTGATTTAGTCTTACAACTAATAATATAAATCATCAACATGGCCGAGGGAATTATCCGGCTGTGCAGGCAAAAAAGTTCATCTTGCGACCTCCTCACTCACGAAATCCAGCTTGACCACCTCGGCAGGCAGGCACTCTTCGACATCCACCTCATTCTCCTGTGCATTAATCCGATTCAATGTCATTGACACATCCGGACCACTCTTCAAAGCCGTTGTTGCGGGCGTTTGCGGAGTCGTCGTGCTGACGCCGTCGACGACCACTGCTGTGGTGGGTGTGGGCGACAACGAAACTGTTGTCACTGCAGGCACAACTATCTGGGGCGTCGCAACAACGGTGTGCGCTAACTGCGTCTGCTGCGTCAGTTGTGCCGTCGTTGTCGTTATTGGTTTCTGAATGATGATGTTTTCCGTGATTGTCGGTGTGTTGGCCGCCGCAGCGGCAGCAGCAAGAGCAGCTTTCTGTTGCTGCATTTGATGGAACTGTTTCAGCGTGACAGTCGTCGTTTGGGGCTGCTGCAAGATCAGTTGCTTCGGTTGGGTTTGCAGTGTCTGCTGGACGCCATGGACCTGCTGTATATTCTGCACGTGATGGATGTGGACAGTCTGCGGCTGCTGCAGAACCGTGTTGGTGGACACGGCTGAAACAGAGTTCTGAGAAGACACTACTGGCAAGTGCTGGACTGTCTGAATTATATGTGTCGGCACTGGTACTTGCTTGGCTGGAATGCCAGCATCCTCAAAAGCCTTCTTCTTCAGAGCTTGACGTATCTGAGACCTGTTGGAAAAGAACAGTTGGTTAGACGTATGCTCTGAAACTCATGTCCTCTCGCTATAAGCACGAACTTGGCGCGGTTCACTTACACTGTGCGGTTTTTAATGCTAAGACTGATCTTACTAAGGTCGTCTGAGAAGCGCATAATGGACGTATGCAACATATCGATTTCTTCGTCCGTCCACTTACTGAAGCCCAGCACGGCATAGCGAGTGAACATGAAAACATCGCAGTTAGCCTTACACTCATAATATGCTTCTGTGCAATAACTTACCCGGACGCTGACTGTGACTCCGCATTTGGGTGTAATTGCATTGTCAGGTCTCCCAGGCGGCTGAAAGCCTGTCCGGCCGCCGTGAAAATCTCGCCAACCTAAACAAAAAACAGTTAGCATTATTTGCATTCAACTTCTATTCAATTTTAAGCCACTGTGCACTATTGCATTGCCGTTCGGCAAATTCAAAACAAACACTCGTCTTTCTGCGCGCCCCGCGCAAAAAAATGTGTTACATTTTGGCAGGAGGCGCGCCGCCGACTTGTACCGTACAAATTAAATGCCAAAATAATGACAGGAAAAATGTATCTTAACAAGCTCACAAATGCAGAGCCGTTGCTGGGAAACGCACCTTTGTTGCCGAATTCATATTAAGTGAACAATAATAAAACCTTATAATTATTTATTTTCTCTTTTGCCGAGCTAGGGATGTAAAAATGCGACGCATCGATGTTTATCGATTTAGCATATGTGGGATATATCGATAATATATCGAAGTTTTAGAAACATCGCAAAGGTACTGGATAACACTAACGTCTCATCAAATTATATTCATGTTTATCGATGTTTTAATGCTGACGCCCATGTTAATCTGTACAGACCAGGGATGCCAAAGAAACTATCAATCGTAACCAGGGAGTGAGGGTAAATGACGAATATGTATACTGTCTCGCGCCTTTTTTAGAGTTGAGTTCGTTATGGCGCAAAAATTAAAAGCACGCATATTCCAAATTTTCGAGTGTTTTCTTTATTAAACTCAAAGCTGGAAATTATCATATAGTGTAAATTATTTAGTAAGTTTAACTATTTACATACAATTATGGAACATTTTTATAATTTTATACAAAATATGAAATAATATTTTAGTTTGATATTTTCATCGAAATTGTTTTAGAAAGACTTAGAAATACTTGATTTCCAATCCAATTTCTTTCCCTCTTCTCAATTTCTGGGTCTTTCAATAGCATTCGATTGATTAATGTTTATAATATTGGGATTCCTGCAAGTGAACGCTTAGTTTTGATATACGAGTACATTTTTAGAGCAGCAGCTCGAATATTATTTTCCAAATTTAAATCAAAACAATTAAAACAACAAAATGTCCATCAAGTTTTGATCAGCCTTTGCGATGATTTGGTTTTGATTGTTTTTGGAACCGAAATCTAAATCTAATATACTTCCCTAACAGGAATCCCACTAATGAAACATTATGCTTCATTTATTAAAGTTGCATAAAAAAGGGGAAGAAATTTGCTTGCTGTTGCTGAATTTGAATACACAATTTTATTTGGTTGAGTTTTATATTAAAATGTCTTCATTTAAAAATTACATCTCTGTGTTGGTTGTTGGTATGCGTGTGTCAATAGATTTTATAAATTTTGCAATTTTCTCCGTAACTATTATTACATTATTATAAGTACGAGTATGCTTGTTGCTTTGTTTTACTCTGTGTAATAAGTTAATAAATTGGCATGCTTGACTTTTATTTAGGCGGTAATCATTTTGAATTAGCATAGCTATATTTCCATTTAAAAATTAGCTTTTTGTCAGCATCTTAATCGAGGCATCCAAACATTTTTACAATTCTTTTATCTAGTATTGGAAATCAGGCTAATTTTTAAGTAAATTCTTTGAAATAAATAAATGTATGCTTCATGTGAAGTAATTCCTTTCTTTAAATTTTGTTATTCATTGTAAGATATTTATATATGTACTTATATAGTGAATTGCCAGTTCTGTGCATTAAATATATTAATGCATGATTCCACACCCAATACAGACACATACGAATATGTCCTAGTATCTGTGTCCTCATTTATACATATATACATACATATGTATGAATAAGCGTCATGTACACATGTATATCGTTATTTGGTTTACTCAATATTTATTTATTATGCATTTTTGTATTATTAGTTTTGGGGCTAATACTTATGTTAGGTAATTTATATTTTCTTCAAGTTTAGCTAATAAATTATTTAATTTAGGTGTCACATTTTGCTGAAATGTGAAACGTTCGTCAACGGACTATGTTCTTGAATACAATTCTTCCAAAATTATTTCACATTTTTGGGTGAAAGTTTTTTGAATGTTTGTGTGAGTTTGGTTGGTTTTGTGTTGCTTTCGGGATTTGCTATTTCCATCAACAGGGGACTAATTTGCGAAACCAGCTTTGCTGAATCTGTTATGTCGTGCTATTCAATGGCCTCCCCTCAAATAATTCATACATATGTACACCGATATAAAGAAAGTATGTACCTAAAACGACAAATGGTGATGCTCGACCTTTGATTTCCCAACCACTTCTCCCCCTTCCGAGACACCCCATTTTGGGAATAATCAAATCGAATAACTCAGCTGCGCATAACCTGATTGATTGGCGATATAAAAGTGCAGATTTTAAATATCTAAGCAAGGTACAAGGTAATCGTACTGTTCTCCTTCTTCCCAGTCCCAGTACCTTCAAGATGTTAGCTTCACAAACAGACTTAGCGACTAATGCACAAAAATGTATATTTCAATTAAAAAATATATATAACTTTGGTCATTTTTTGTTGCTGCCATTCAAATTATCATATGAAAAGTTTAGTTTACTTGCTTCTAGTTTAATTATTTTATTCTGTAAGATTAAGAAAAGCAATTTAGCTCAGATTCTATGCCAAACAGGAGAAAGTAAAGACAGGAATCGAAAGAGGATAGTAAATACGTACTACATAGATTTCAACATACTTGTATTTGCAATTGCACAGTGGTCAGTGGTCACAGTGGTTGAATTGCCAAAATTATTGACTCGACAAATATAATCAAGGTAGCATTAACTTTTGGTTTTCAGATTTTGCATCTAAAGTCAAAGTTTCTAAGGATTATTAAGAAATACAAGCTAGTCGAGTTCCATAATGCGGGCATGAAATGAGACCCATTTTCTAGATTGCGAGACTTTAGTTAGATTTGGTGGATCTGAAGTGGTGGAAATAACATGTTGCTTCGAAAATTTTAACTCTTTTCTTTCTCCACCGAGAGCTCGCGTCAATCAATCAGATTTTCTTGATATGTATTACTAATAGCTACAAAGAGAACAACAAGACGGTTATTGCGGATACTGAAAACTACCTGAAATACGAAAAATACTGAAATATAGATCTACAATATGTACATTTTATAGGGAACTGTGATGTCTCTTTCATACCAGAAATATATGCACAGAGAATATTCCTTTCAGGCTGCCCTTGGCATTCACATTTAATATTTAATATTTCAGTATTATTTCAATTAGGACGAACTTCTATTTATTATTAAGTTGGAATACTCAGAAACATTTCTCTCAAAGTATTTAAGATTAAATTGTACAAAAAACCGTAGACACTTCGTGGAATAATTTTTGTTTAACGAATTCGGATATTGCGATCTTAGTTTAATAGGAAAAAAAGTTCGGAGCTACATTAAATTAAAAATGGATTAAAATAAAAGTTTAAGTTTGAAACTGCTGCTGAAGTCACAATTATATATTCACTATAATAAAGGTTTAAGATTATAAGTATTTTAGTTTGTAGAACTGCCTCATTCTATACGTATTTTTTTTATACTTGTATGTTTATAAATATGAGGTCCACTGACTCACTGTGCGTTGATTTGGTTTTTGAGATAAAAAATAGTTAATCTGTTAATAGTTAGTTTTGAATTGGAATTTGATTTAGCTGTCGTTACTGTTATTATTATTTATTTTGCTTTTGTGGCGCCTGTGTTTCCATATTAGACCTATTTTTGTTCTTAATTTCTGCAAATTGTTTTGGTTTTGAATAACAACTTTTGCCATAAACATTTTTTGTTCACTATAACTCGAACCCGCGTTTTGTTTATACAAGTATGTGTTTATTTTGTGAAATTAGTTTTTCTTCTCCGAATATACTCCCTTTGTGGGGCTGAGACCATCAGCAGGTTCGAGTACATAGAAGCATGGAGCTTGGTGGTGTAAAAATTTGTAGGTCTTTGGGTGTTTTCCTATAAATTTTAGTTTTCTTATATAAGCCGCGATCGATTTAACTTCAATGCGCTTATTTCCATTATCATGCTGTTGAAAATAGTTGCTGAGTTTTGGAAGGTGGTTGGAACTGTAAAAGGAGTGCTTGTTCGGAATGGGCCAGATCAACTATACGTGTATGCTTAAAATAGTCTCGCAATCATTAAAAGCATTTATCGTGGGTGGAAACGAGGAGTAGCCTGGAGAAGCATGTAACAATTAACGTAAGGCATGGTAAGGCGTGCCGAATAGGTAGTGTGATGACATGTGGGTGGTGAGGGTGAGGGCGAATGGTGAAATGTGAAATGTGATTTGTGAACTGTGTAGGGATTCGAATGTACTTGTACATACATATTTAGTTGATTTTATATTTACTCTTCATTGGTTTTAAGGCACTAAAGGTGTAAATCAACAGCTTTGTGTAACTGGCGGAGAAAACGGCTTCAGCAAGCTTCGGAAAGGAAGTACGAGTACTAAACTATTCGCAGTGTATTAACGTTTCTCAGCGTCTCGAGCGAGAATAGGGGTAGGAAACGGCTTCGGCTACGGCTACGGCTAGGGCTAGGGCTTCGAGCTCAGCTCATTCTATTAAAGAGATTTCATTAAAGGTCGATTTCAAGTCGATTTATCTTATATACGAGTATTTTCAGCTACTTAAATTTGTACGTGTTCACTAAATTATTAAAGCTGACACTTACTCAGTTATTTATTTGCATAAAAATATATGTAAGTAATGCACCCTTACTATGTATGAACAATTACCCATCACGGATCCCCCAGTGAGCAGCCAAGTTCTCAGATGGTTCAAGAAATGCTGTCAAGGCCTAATTACTCGTACTGTGTTTTCTTTAAATTTATACTTGTAGTAAATCTTACGTTAAGCCCTCTTTAAATTCATAATGCCTAATAAAATCATTTTATAATTAGCTACTGGAATTTAAGACACAAAAGGCTCATGCTATTTTAAATCATTTATTTATACCATTCCCTTCGGCTCGTGCGTCATTATTTGTTTTATTTGTTTTTCAATCAATTTCTTGAAACGCTAAAAATGTACAGTGCTCGCCATTCATGGTTCAAATGGGAAACTTTTGGCACAGAGAAACGCTTTTATTTCCGTCTATGATAATTATTGTTTATTTATTTATGCTTTTGTTTTTCCTTTCTAACGTTCCCTTAGTCTCATTTTTTGCGATTATAAAAGTGCAACAATCGAGAGGCATCATCATCTAGTATTTGGCCTCATCATCAATATGTGGTCTCTTCCTGCTTATTTAAAGTAAACTGAAATTTCTGTGTGGCTGACTGAATGAAATCTCTTTAATAAAATTGATCCGTGCTTAGAATATCCTCTTCGTCCTCTTCAACAATTACCTTATTACGTATTGCACGCGTTACCTCTTCGACATTTGTGAAAGATGAGGTGGACAGTTCTTGTGATGCGGAAGAGCTCTTCTCATGGCTGCGGGCTTGTCCTGTGAGCTGCTGCTGCTGATGCTGATGATGATGATGGAAGTGGGGCATGTATTGGAGGGGGGCATGTGGGGAGGGGGCGGTGGCATTGGTATCTCTATTGGCGCGTGGTTGACGATAACTTTGGCCGTCAGGTTGATATGATCGCATATTTGTGTGGCTCTGTGGGTACGAATAGGGTTGGTGTTGCAGCGGAATATGTTCGATTGGCATGCGATGATGATCTGACGGGTTGTGTGATAGGAAGGAGGAGGAGGACGAGGACAGCCATTGACCCCTCCGTTGCGCAGAGGGGTGATGTTGGCGTGAGGTGATGCTGTTCTGAAGTTGTGTGGTCGGTCTTTGTGGGCGTTCTAGAGGTAATGGTCTTTCAAGATCAAAACTATTGTCGCATGCTTCCATTAAACCTGCCGCTCTTGAATCGATCTGATCCCACCCCTATATCCACGATTCCTACATGGCATTGAGCATTCTCCTACTACTCCCACCACCCCTGTGCGGACTATATTCATCGCTATCCACAATCGGTGCCCCTCTTCTCGTTGTTGGCGCCGACGGTGGCATATCGCGTCCATACCGACTGCTGCTGAGTAGACGCGGATCCTCGCGCCCAAAGTCCGGATCCTCCATCAGGCGACCACCCCGCGACAGGTGACCATGATGGGATGCCCCGCTTGGCCCGCTCCGCATCGCCGGATACTCAAAATTGCGTTCATCCAGCAGCTCATCGCTGTTCAAGTCGTAGTGCATGAGGTCGCGTTCCCGCGCGTGTAGTCGCTCCCGCTCCCGCTCCCTCTCTCGATCGAAGCCAGTTCCGCCACCTACGCCTCCTGCGCCGCCTACGCCGCCCACTCCACCGCGCTCGTGGTGACGCGCCGAGCTCTGGGGCTGTCGTCGGCTGTGATGGTAAGCAGCTCCTCCTGCAATAGGGTCAACACAAGCTTTAATTAGTCGCCAAATCGAGCGGAAAATGACAAAATTGCGAAACAGAACTTGTAAAAAAACATTCGAACGCACCAAAATAGAACATAATTAAACAAAGCCAGTAAAACAAAATACTCAAAATTGATTGTAAGTATTAATCGGGGTGCACATAAGCAAAGTTTCAGTATTCAACGGAGTGGAAATAGCTCCAAGTGTTCAGTCGAACATACTCCTACGCATGTACCTACTGGGGTTAGTTGACTGATGGTACAATGTTCCTCCATTAAACACAACACTTTCTACTAAACACTGGATTCAATATAACTACAAGCTCTTCTAATAATTGAATTCACCTAATTTCATTCTAGCTAGGAAGTCTTTGTTTGATTTTGAATTTTCTGGGCTATGACATACGAGCTAAATAAACAAATTGGGTGAACTTTCAAAGATAATTTCTTCATGGGAATATCTATCTATCTACTTATATAGGGGACTTGCTTCTTAAGTGTTAGGAACTCCTACATTAATCAACAAGGGTACATAATGGATAAAAGCCGATTTAGAGCACATTTTTTGATTCGCTGTTAAAATGTTGCACGTTTCGTGTTTTCCATACACGATTTAATGTATTTATTTGCGGTATTTCCTTTTGGTTTTGTTTACATTTTATGGTCTGGGCTAAGCTTTTCAACAAATAAATATAACTTCATATTATTTAAATATTTTTAACTCAAAGTCTTTCTCTTCATTTGTTCGTATAAAACGCGTTTTTAAATCTCACGTATGAAGAAGATAAACATTATATCTATCTATTGTGCTCTTCTTAAATAAATTGTTTTCCTGATTTGAATGGTTTTCATATTTAAAAACGAATTAACTGCAAACTGGAAAATGGACTATAAATGTCTTATATACATATTTACAACGATATTTCACTACCATGGATTGCAAGAGTACAAGATGAAAGCTGAATATAATTGAATGCCAACAAATGACAAGTCCTAGGCATGTGCTTGTACATTTATTTGGTCCATGAAAATTGATTGAATGAGGGATATATACGATCTTGATCATTAGGTGTAGGTGTTTATAAAACATATATCAAACAATTAAATAAACATTGCGAAGCTTCAGCAAAGGCAAGTATGTGTGTCCTAAATCAATGAAATTGCAGTAAACTCAATTGTCAGCAAATCATCAAGACTTATAATAAATGAAGAAATAATAGAAATAAACGAGTAAGAATCTGGGGGATTGGGGGGTTTCGTATGAAAGTAAAACAGAAACAAACTTGATGGGGTAATGGTACTCACTAAACATAAATACGTCTAGAGAATGACTGCAACTCGGACGAGTTGGTTTATAAACTATTAAAGGTGTAGTCACAATAAATCTTAACAAAAACAACAAAATCTTTTCGGACTGATCAGAGCCGTTGGCTAAAATTTCGTGTACAATCGGATACTGGGACATGGTTATTACAGACGCACCACACCCGGCGTAACTAAAAATGAGTACAAAATTCGATCAATCAGACACATAGAAGACACATACATGCAGAATGTCAATTGGAATTATTGATACACGTAGTGCCCATCTACATTCGTATGTGTGTGTGTATGAAGTGTGTGTCTACAAATGGATAATCATTGAGGAAGCACTGGATAGGGGTAAAGACAATGTGAATAGTTGCTGCCAATCTGGATGTATTGCTCGCCTAACTTATTTGATTTATTTTATTTTTATTGAAAGGAATATCACACGAAGTTGAAGTTCCGCATTAATTTTGTTTATGAAGTAAGGAACGAGAACCTACAACTATGATATGGGGAATTATTGTGCCTAAGTTAGAGGATAGCTCCCATCGGTTTAGTACCTTCTGTTTTCAATATTAAGAATGCAGGCAATAAAATAAAATAGAAACGTTGGTGGTTAGTAACTGTTAGTTAGCCTTTGCGAAATGGCATCTAAAGCACCTCGTATTGGGTCTGCCAACGTGGCGGTTCTTTGGGAGAGCTACAGAGAGCTAATTTCGGTAATTTCGGATGGTATGTAAATAGTATAGTATATTGATAGTAGTTTATGTAACGTTGGAGAGCTTCTGAAACACGACCGTTTTCTTCTTTCGGTTTGTCTTTTACTTTTTGTTTGGTATTATATATATTATTGATGTTGTTTTGGTAGTTTTTCTTTTTGATTTTTTATAGCATTGTTGTAAAGGAACCGGGTATGTCACGTGATGTGAACGCTGCAAAGTGTTTGTATAGAAATAAACAAAAGATACAGTTGGTTTTTAGGTAGATGTGGATGCATTTAAAAGTAAATAAATATGAAATGATTGTAAAGCCAAAATTAAGTATGTAAGCCAAATAAATGCATTCAAATGGGCGATCGGTATACTAAAGCAGATGTATAGTATGGTCGGTCTTGAATGAAACCCAATTTCCAAGTGATTATAACCGCTTTGATGTTTACAAAACTGACTCAAAATGGGAACTCAGGAAGCCGATGTACGTGTATAGGAGAAATATATGAATTAAACTTCTAAATGATTAATATAGTAGTATATAGTATGTATGTAAGTGGGTTTAGACGAATTTAAGAATTAACTGATATCATTATCAAGACTTATTTACGACTATTATACGACTACCACTAGAAATCGTATATCGTATGCATACTGAAATAATTGTACTTATTTAGATAGGTTTTTGTTTTGTTTTGTTTTGTTCAGAATAAGATAAAACCAAAGAAATAAATTTACCTTGATCCCAATCGAACTCTCTATTCCAATCTCTCTCTCGCTCCCGTTCCCACTCGCGTGCTCTCTCGCGCTCCCAATCCAAAATCTTCTCCCGGTCCTTCAAAGTATGCTGTCTGTTAAAATCTCTGTCTCTTTCCCTGTCCCTGCCCCAATAGTCGTGATCGCGATCACCATCGCGAATACGATCGCGTTCGCTGTCTCTCTCCCTACTGGCCCGCTCCCGGCTACCACTTTTGTGCTCCCTGCTACTATCACGTTCCATTCTAGACTCGGAGTCAAACTCCTCGCCATCGACTGCAGGCACACGAGTGCGAAGAGAGAGCAAGAAAGGGCATCGATTGGTACGGTCGATCGATCGTACAGTCATGGGAATTTGAATTTGAGAAAGACAAAGTATAGAATTTTTATAGAACTGTTATAATATTGTATAGGTATGCGCACTGTGGATGTGTGTAGTGGTTTTGTTGTTGTTATCATTTTTTTTTTTTTTTTCGAAAACTAATATCGAACTAATAAATATAATAAAGGTGATTGAGGGGGCGCGGACTGGTGATGGCTGATGGTTTCTATCCCAATCTCAAACGAAAACATAATGTGGGTTTATGAGATTTTGCTTAGTTATGCTTCAATTTGATTGTTGTGTGGAAGTTCGGGAAGTTACTAAATGAAATTATGATCACATGAACGTGAGAGCGAAGCCGGCTGAAGGACAATTGAAGAATACCTGGTGGAGTTAGGCCCATGCGAGCTTGATCTGTTGATGGGGACACCTCTTGAGATGGCATAGGCCTTGCTATTGCTGGTACAATGTGTACATCTGGATGCGTTGCCTTCCAGTAAGTCTAGACAATGCAAGGATCGTTTAGTTTTCAACTCGCAAGATCAGAACACTGCTTACCTCTAGGTATTCGGCAATGTGCTCGCAAGCATCCTCCAATTGGTTTTCATCTAAAATTACGTCGAACATTTCTGGTGGACATTGGGCTAGCTTTTCAGCGGCGACCATTTGCACGGAGAGGTTCTTTGCCTGCGATTTGCCGCGCGATTTTATTAAACGCTGTAAAACCTGAAAGAAGTTCGAGATCATTAGATGACTGGAGATGAAAAGGCGATGGGGAGGGAGAGGGGGCCTTCTCTTACCTTACTACTACTAATTTTTAAGTAAACTATTGTTGGCGCTAAAGAAGTTTTTGCCAATTGTGACGGATGATTGATTGTATCACAATCGAGTACGACTAGCTGTAGTGATCTGGCCAGCTCGAAAATTCGCTCGATTTCCTCCTGCACCTTACCGAGGCAATCAGATCGGCTGCTCGAGCGCTCCATAATGGCGCGCTTCGATGGATTGTTCATGATGGAGCGTTTTGCCAACGAAATATCCGCCATAACGCGCGTTATGATTATCCGACCTTCGAAGCGATGTTTAAGGAAGTCAAAAAGCGCCTTCTGCATCATATCGGTTACCTCGTAACCCTTAAGGCTTGGACCCACTAAGACGACGGGACGCATCGATGGCACCACATCGTATGGAGAGGCGGTCTCCTGTTTCTTAAAGAAAGGTTTCCGTTTTTCCTTGTTGGGCGGCGTTGCTAATGGCGTTTTGCCATGACGTCCTGGTCCCACAGAATCTGATTCGTCACCTTATCGTTAGTATCATCAGAAAATGGCAAAGAAAAAAAAAACAATGGCAACGGATGAGCGAGCTTATGAATGCTACAAGCTACAATCGAATTCTACGAATCACAAAGCCAATTCATTACTCAACATGTTTCCAGAAATTGTACCACTAAGTGTACAAATTCTCCACATGTCTCTTGTATTGTGTGCATATAGTATATGTATGTATCTATGGATCTGTATAAGTACGATAGCGATATGTGTCTTCTAGAACTGGTCGTTGGAATTTGAAATTTTAAGTCATTTTCTTTACTGCAGGAAGCCGTCGAAATGTCAGCTAAAATATGAGGGGGATCTGTCGCGAAAGTACGATTAACTTACAACTAGTTAATATTTGAGAAATATGTACGAAATTGAAATACGAAATACGATTTCGATTACGGATATAGACGAACATGATAAGTGACGGAAGTTCAAGCGACAATCAAAGTAAAATAGATGGATAGAGTGGATTCGAAAAGACAAAGACAAACCTGTTTTCTTTCTCGGTTCTATACTATAGGGATCTGTGCCATAAAAGTTTTGTTGTTGTGTTGTTGTTGTTGTTGTTGTTGTCGTTATTGTGAGCAGAAGTGGATATGGTTTTATCAGTTAATGTTGTTGTCGTTGTTGTTGTGGCAATTCGGAAACCAAACGTTATCATATTGTATATACAAAGGACAGATTAGAGCAAGCAACAGTGTTCTCGTCGACATGGATTTATGGATTTATAAACATGCATTTACTTCTATGAGAAAGCACAGTGTGTACAAATTTTCCTATTCATATTTTTGTTTCTTTCATATTTTTGTTTGATTTTTTTTGCATGCGCATTTTTTTTGAGAATTATTAGACCAAATTGCGTGGAGGGGGAAGTCGCAAATCAAGTTCTAGGTTGCAGTTCAGTTGTGAAGAGATGATTGATTATATGATAAGTATATCAGAGAAAATAAAAATAATTAAAAAACCAGTTAAGTCTTTTCAAAAACAGAAACAAAGTAGAAAACCCCTAATTTTCAAATATAATTTTAATAGTAATGGTAGCTTGTAGTAGCATCGGTGGTTTAGCTTTGGCTGAATTTAGGCTGCTCTTGATATTGTTGGTAATAAACCTATGAACATTTCAATTTGCTTTGATTCTTTTAACTTTTTTGAATAATTCCTATCGAAGTATTTTTGTGTTTCTGTGAAACGAAAAAGAAAATAAAATAGCTGGAGGAACCATTTCTGAGAGAAGAGGCCCTCGATCGCAGTATTTATGATCACAAGTAAGATTACGATTGAATAAAGAACTTTACTTTAGAATTAAGTAAAAAATTTTAAAAGTTTTGAACTGCATTTCAACTTTTGTATACCAAATAGAGTCGATTGTTCAAATATCGAATTGGTCCGTCATTGATCCTTTCGCAACTCTAATATGCTGAAATTCAAGGCGACAGTATTCTCCCAAATGAGGGCTAGTACTTTGTGTGGTTTTGAAAAGTTTTCCCACATTACTGTTTAGAGAACAATAAATTCTACACGATGTAGAAAAACACTCCACTGTAAAGATAGAGGAACCTGAATAGAGGGAACACATTTCGGTCCCAAATTGAAAATCAGCCTAGCCTTCAGTTGACTCTGCCATATGTTGAAATATGGGAGTATTGTATTTGGGTGTGTGTGTGTGTGTGTGTGTGTCAGGGTGTAGGTGTATGAAAGTAAGTTGTTACCCTTTATAACCGTCAAGATATTCGTTAGACCACGGCGACAACATAAAGATATATATATAAAGAAGACGTATATAAATATTACATAAAAATCAAACAGATAATTAGATTGAAAACATTTCGTTTACGAAATAAAACCTCGTCTAAGGAAATGAGGAAAATGAAATGTGTGTCATACCAGGTGTAGGGGGTGTGCTACCTCGTGATGGCTCCGCACCTGCTTGTCCCGCACCTAAATTACCGCTAGATGAACCCTTTGTGCCATACAGTCTCGAGGGTTTGGTTTGATTCTGAAAGAAGCAGGGTGTCGGTAAACTGATATTTCTTTTTGCGCTACCCACCTGCATCCGAATGTTGTCTAGCTTAGCGGGGCTGGGTATGAAGCCCACATCACAGCCTTCCTTGACCAGTCTGCCGATCCACCAGTTATTGTCGTATTTCTCCTTGATGTGCAAAAACTCCCTAATCTCGAATGAAACTGCTCCTCCCTGGACAGGAGAGTCATCGTCGATATTGCCATCATATGCTACGTTGGTTCGCACAGCGAACGCCACTGGTTTGCTCTAAAAATCAACAACAATCTGAAGTAAATGGGATTTATCTAAACGTAACTCTCCACTCACTCTAGCTTTATCCAACTGGCTTAAGGCCTGACGTTCCTTTTCTCGCCGAAGCGATTCCTTTTCCTCGTCTAGCGACAGATCGGATGACGGTTGTGAGTAGTTCGAGTCGGCAGAACCCTAAAAAATATGATTCAAATATATAATATGATATTGTTTCAATGGAGTTATTACATTCTATAACGATTCCATACATTCTATAACCACTAGAGAATGGAGTTTTCACCTTCCCAACCCATTTATAATTTACCAAAAATAAATCTTTTAAGTACTCCAATGTTCCTTTTACTAAATGTTTGGAAATGTTCTTATAATTGAATGAAATATTATAAAACGACGTGTTTAGTAAAAACAATCGCAGCTTAAAACTACTACTGAATTTAATCATGGAATTCGTATAAGATCGGAAATTTTCCGGGACGATTTCGGTCCCCCTTTGTTTTGTGAACCTAACACAGTAATGGAATAGCCCGCTGATTCAGCTTAATGCTTGTTGTGTAGTATTATTGATTTCCATGTAGGTAGAGGAGTCTGCATACACTTCATTGGTTCGGTTGACAATGGGGAGAGAGAAGCTGGAGTTTGAGAAAATGGGAGGAGGCGGTGGCTACTTTGCGAAATTCAGAAACAATATTTAAAAGAGATATGCAAATCCTCGTGTGTGGGAGTAGAGTATTCATTTGTTTTGTGTGCCCACCTGTGTGAAGAGCTTATTATATCCGCTTTGGTATGAGGAGTATCCAAGGCCGAATCGAGACTCTCGATGGCCGCCCTGAATGGAGGGAGCATCTGAAGAGGATGCACGCTGCACCATGGGCTTGTCAGCCCTGTAATCTTCTTCGAATGAAGATATTTTGAAGGAATCTTTAGAGACACTTTCAACAATAACAGCTTCGATATCGTCGTGTTATGCGAAGCAACGTAATTTCCTTTCCACACAACCGCCCGACGATGACGATGACGGCAGTGGTGATGACGTCGTCAGTAGAAACAGTGGCGTTCGCGATGGCGGTGGCGATGGCAGGAAAGGCCACGCCAACACTCACGCAGCGATGTTAGTAATACACATATAATAAACGAGTATAAATGAAAATGCTCGTTGTCTATCCCCGATTTGCATTCCCGCACCTATTCCGATTGAGAATTCGCACAATTGAGAGAATACTATAACTTCTTGAATCGCCGCCGCCTTTGTTCGATATTTAGGAACTTCGAGTTGGACTGGTAGATGGTAGACGGATGGGCTATCCCATCAAAGCTACTGGTTTCGAATTGGACCCGTGTTGGCGCTTTTAAATTTTGGTTATCCGGTTTAAAAATAGGTATTTATGTCAGTCGAGTCGGGTCGCGAAGGTTTTTTTATTATATTTTTATTTTTAGATTATTTTTGTTTTCTAGTATATGCACATAAATTACTGGAAAACGCAAACCGAAAGAGAAAAAGCACTGAGAGCAATGTATGGGGTGGGTTGGGGGTCGAAAATTCCCTTTTTGGTGCTTTGCGTCTGTTTCCGTTCTAACTTCCTGTCTCGCATTCGCAACCGCCGCGTATCCCTCAAATCACTACAGCCGTTTGTAAAAAGGAGTTTCTAGCAAAATATATAGTTTTTTAGCAATTTCCCCCAGCACTCGATGCACACTCAAAATTCATATTTCGGCCTCGCCTACACGCGTCGCAATTCACTCGCAATTCCACTCCGCACGCAAACTGAACCGTTTCTGAGTTTGGAAATGAAAATTTTTCGTTTAACGCTTCAGCCTGGAAAATCTTGTAGAGTTTCGAAGCTTCCAGTGTGTAAATGTGCATGTTTTCTGGAGTCCACTCTCTCCCTACTCGCGGCCGTTCCTCCATTGCGGATTCAGTCAACCCAGCCGATGCGAACACACAACTGTGTACTTTCCTGCCAAAAATGTAAACAACATTCTCGCCTGCCTGCCTACCTGCCATAGAAATGAGATTTCAGTTCGACCCAATGTGCGAATTGTCTATATACATAAGTGTCTGCTGTATGTGTCTGTCGTTAGTTGAAATTAAAAGTTTTCGAGAGATTTAAAGGGCGGGCCGATTTGTTTAAGCTACGCTTAGACTGGCAAGTGGTAAGCACATATATATGTCACGAAACTCTGGGGCAAAGGAAGAAAATTGTCACCCAAAACAATCTATTTTGTATTCACTTTCAAAGTCTAATATATTTATATTTAAATGCTTAGAAACATAGTTCACGCTATTCTATATATTTCGTTGAATTAAAATTTGTTTCACTATCAAATTTTTTTATATTTTATTTAATTTCAAATTCAAAACAAAACCAGTCCGATGCTGGTTATTTTTAATTTGCTAACTAATTGAAGTAGTTTAGTTGGCTTTATAATATTGAAAAGGCTTGTAACTCAAGGAGTACACTCCACTTGTCGAATTTTGTGTGTAATGAAAAATCAAAAAGAGGGCTATCTATCAAATCTACTCTCCATGAAGTATGAAAAACATGTCTAGTATCGCCTAGTTAGTGCACGTATCACAATTGCTATCTGGACTATCAATTCCCTTTAATGCAGTTCACACACAGCGACTGAGCAATCATTGATATTTTGAATTTTAAAATAGCTATACCAACAGAAAAAATAAATACAATTACACTTAAAAAATGCATTAAATTTTTCAAATTGTGCAACTTCACCTATTTTTTAGTTTTTTTTCAATGCAACTCTTGATTAAGTTTTTCAAATACATATATTGCAATAATATTTAAATTAATTGAAAAGGTATAGCATATTTTTGAAGACCAATTCTGCTTCAAATTATTTATAAAAATATTAAAAAGGAAATTGGGAAACATCATAAACAGGTTTTATCATTGTTTTAAATTCCTCAATTTTTCCGATATTATATACACTGTGCAGAATAACGTAAACACTCCGTCGTAGTATTTACCACCGCGAGAAGCGACAGCACAATTTTCCAGGTTGAGCGCGAGACAGAGAGACAGAGAGAGAGAGAGAGAGCAAGCGAACCCATATTTTCTTTGTGATTTCTCCACGTTCGCTTTGCGCAGACGCCAGCTGTTATCTACTCTTTCCCTGCTCTGGCCCTGCTTCCACAATTTTCATTTCCATGCTGCTGAACATATTTTTCCCCATTGTTCGTGTGGCCAGAGGGAATTGCCACAGACGAGCATCACTACAACATTCATGGGGAGCCCTTTTGGGGGAGGGGGCGGCGGGGCGATGGGACTTAGAACGCGCAGCAGGCAGTTCAGATATTGTTTACGTTTTGCCGTTAAGAAAGCTCAGTTGATTCCACATTCGGCCAAATGTGTGACGACAAATAATGAACTTGGTCGTCGCCATTAACAGAGCCCATCCATTAGGCCATGCGGCATAGCAACTGCCAGCCCGCAACAGCTTTCGGACACCAGAAATTCGTATTCAAATAGGCGTATGGTTGTTGCTGAAGAAGTTCTGGGCAAACATACTCTTATAGTGCAGTGTTGAGGGTTAGAAAACAAATCGTAGCAGAATTATTGTAAGCTAGTGGGGTCTAGCGATTTAAAGCTTTCACCTGGTATTCTAAATTTATAGCCTGATTGGCTAGTATTCTAATGTTAAAATCCAAGTGATAAATAATACAGAGCTTCAATAACAGAATAACTATTTATTTATTCTAGTAAATGGTTTATATTTTGTACACAAACAATCCGAACATCCAAGAGTCGTCTTCCATATAGAACTACGAGCTGAATCTGAAGATGAACTCTGCGTTCAAAATGTTTTCATAACCAGAATACTTCATAGAAATCTGCATATCTGCATTCAGTTTCAGTTGAATTTAATTAAAAGCCACTTTAATATTGAACAGAGTAATTTTAAAAATAGTAGAAGAATAAAAAACAATAAATGCTTACAAATTTAACTAAAATATGCTTTTTCGAAAGTCTTCTATTCTATGCTATTTAAAAAAGCAAGTAAGCAGTTTTCCGATATCAGAGACAAGAGGATTATGATAGATTTGCAATGAAAATATATAGTAGTATTATTTATTATATCGGTAACATTAAATAACATTGACGGATACTTTTTATAACTTTATTTTAGGAGGCTAAATTAGGCGTTTTTCTGATATTATTATTATGACTCACAGGTCTTAGAAATCCGCAGCAAAATGTTTGGTTTTGCCTTTGTTATTTATTGTTTTTTTTTTTAAATAAACGAATCGTTTTAATCAGTCCGATTGCTTCTAAGGGTTAGGATTAGGATTTCCCTGCCATGTCTGTTTTATGAGTAGGCCCCATTGAAATTCTTTGAACACACTCAAGAAAGCAAAACACAAGCAACAAATTGGTGGAAAATAACAAAAGCAAGAGGCGAAGACACAGCACAGAAATCGCGAATAATTGGGAAAGCATTGACAAGAGGCTACGAACTACGAGTCGTAAGAAAGAAATATAAAAAGAATGAGAGTGTGGGCCAAAGACAGCTGACCAAGAGAGCCCCAGCGGATATAAATACTGGGGCCAAAGTCAACAGAGCTTACCCGTCGGTTCTTATTCCGGAAGGGCTTGTAGGACTTGCCCTTGTGCTTGACTCCCAAATGCAGTTTCTTCATGTTGGACAGCACTCCTTATATCAACGGCTGTACAGTTACGAGATCGAACACATTAACCAGGCGATATGTTCGGCCTGGCCTTTACAATGCACCCTCGAGTTATTTATTTTGCTTTCGCGGCCACGAACAACATAAACAAACTCTCAAGCGAAATGGCCAGCCGATTAATGGATACTAAATTGGAAACACATTAGGATGGCGCAGAGTCGGCGAACATCTGGGTCATGGTGGACCAGGGGATGTCTAGAGAATCGAAAATATTCACGATCGCGACGCTTTGGCTTACAATACACGCACTGCCAGCGAACTATGTATTTATATGCACAACGAATGGGCGACTACTGGCGCATGCATACATATATATATATAAATATATTGGTATAACCAAAAAAATATATATATATATGTATATATATATCTATATAGAACTGGGCAAATTTAACAAGCAGCAAAGCCGCTCCGCTGACAAGTGGCGACCACAAGCGAAAAGAAAACAATTCGGACTGATTCAGAGACAGCCAGCATCGCGACAAATGTTCTGATAGCTGACACATAGTCTAGTCCCCACAATGTGTGGGTCGGAGCAGCAGATCGCCTGAGAAAGTAGTGCACGGCTCGCAACTGAGAGGCAGTGCGAAAACAAAAAATAAACACGAATCTTCAAAAGTTGAAAATTGCAACCACAATGAATTACGATCTTATGAGCATATCTCTGTGCCAAGCAAAGCAGCCCCTTTGACGTACATCTATACGAGTAAATAAATAGAAAATTCTGCACTGGACGGCGCCTCCTTCTTACAATTACCAAGCTTGATCTCACACTATCGGTATTTCAGAGTGTGTCTTCCTGTTCAAGAAACCGCATAAATGAGTGCCGGTGTTTATATAATTTAATAATAACAATTTGCTGATTTCCCAATTTTTATTGAAGAGCTTAAATTTAATTACCTTTTGGTTCCGCAATTCTCTAGGGTGTATTTTTACAGTTAGCCCGGTTTGAATGTGTGGTCATCAATAGTTGGGGCTTCCTATATTCTCGTATGCCTACATTGGCTTCTATTTGCTAACATTATAATTAAAATTTGTGTCTTCAATTATCGTTGTTCTTTTGAGTTGGTAGCTGACTTCGTTGCAGTCCAGCTATCCAGCTATTATCTGAAAATACAAGAAAAGAATTGTGTATAAATAAAGAGTTTAAAATTTAACAAAATAAATAAATCAATCACACTTAATTGTTGGAAGTGATGCTAAACATTAACAGCAAAGTAGTAAATGGTTCATCGCTGGAAAAATGTCAATTAACATTTTTAATTATTCTTGGCTTCTCGGTCTTAATGGAGGTACACTTTAAATTCAAAATTTCATTTTGTAAGTTGAATAATATTCTAAATTCCGAGTATTTCATTGAAGAAACATCTAAACTCTTTCCTTCCCGAACTTAGTAGAAAATGAATTAGCATTTATTCCTTTCGCGATCCCTGCGTTCATGCAGACAGGTTTAGGGCTGCGACGCCTCCTTTTGAGTGTTACAACAAAAACATAATGATTTCATAAAACCCTTTAAGCCTGCGAGTACAGTGCATATAAATCACAAACCCGTTTAGGCCACCACTAAAAAGGAGCAGTCCACTGGCCAAAGACCTCAAGTGCAATGCAAATGGACGGATGGATGGATGGTTGGATGGAAACACTCGCACTTATTAATGCTTTAATAAATGGCATTTCATTTTCTTTTATTCTCGAATTCGACAA